CTCTCTCTCTCTCTCTCTCTCTCTCTCTCTTTCACTATCTATCTCTCTCTCTCTCTCTGTTTCAGTAACCCCACTGCAGTTGGTAGGAATGAACTTCTAGATCTGTCTATTCAAAGGTACAGATTAAGAAAATACAAACACTTTTTAAAAAAACAACAAAACGAAACAAAACAAAAACAGTACAACAAAAGAACTGTGGGAAGATGGCGAAATAGTAATATGTTTAACACTGTCAGGTTATTTAAGAGGCGGGACCTCCGAGTTTAACGTCCATCTCCGAAAGGACCACTCCAAGAGGGGAAATTCGTGAAAATTGCCTTTCCCAAGGACACAACGTCGGACGGAGCTGAGGCTCGAACCCTCGAACCCGCAACCTCAGGGCAACCTCAGGATTACGAGTCCGGTAACCTAACCACTAGGCTACCGACGCCAATAAAGGGCGAATACCACATTTTGTTTTAGTTTTAGCACAAGTTTTACGGCACTTGCAACACAATAAGGTCATATTGATATAAGTGCCGAAGATTAGGGTAGTTACAAGAGAGTAAAAAAAATTAATTAAAAAGGAGGAGAGAGAAGGACGATAGATGATTGATCTAGGAAAGAAGGAGCAAACCACACCAGAACACCCGTCAATCACCCACGTACCACCTTTGGGCACTGATGCCATGAAGAAGTAGCACGAACATACCAGAGCTAATCTTTCTCCCGCCCAACTTTCACCCAGCTCCGAGACCTTGAGAAATCCCGCCAGGGCCCGTGGCCAGCAGACGTGAGTAGTGAGCCCATTCTTTCTACTAGACTTTTTCCCGCCAAGACCAGGCTCATCATGATGATAATATGTCCTGTCTTTGTCGTGCACTGCGCGTGTCGCATTATTCCATCCCCGGATCGCCAAAAGAATCCAGAGCCGATGATTGAGGGTTTGGGTTTTTTTTTTCATTGTGGCTGTGAGGCCCATTATGCCGTACAGATCTCTGCTCTACATCCAACCTCTTCTCATTGGCTCCTTTTTGCCGTCATCGAGGCAAGAACTGAAGAATTGTTTTCAGGGTTTTTTTGTTCTGCTTTTTTTTCCTTTTTTTGTTTGTTATCGGAATCGGTGTCACCTTTTTCTTACGTTTGTGGGAGTGAAAGCAGGTTTGAAGGTTTGGGGCCTGGAGGGGGGGGGG